TTCTGTGCGAAATCGTCATGGAAAGGGAGGAGTAAATAGAAATCCCAAACTAAAATTTTAACTTAATTAGAGTGGATTTGAACAGCTGAAAACGGCTTCGTAGAAGCGCAACTCGCTAGAAAGTGGTAACGTCGCATTGTCTAACGAATCAGTTGATCGGTTCACCAGACCGCTCAGACATCACAGTGTTCTAATGTATTAAGTGGTGCGATGTATTCCTAAGTTCTTATTCATTAGGACATCGGTAACTAGTTTTCAAGGTTTTTCATCACAAAATGATTGGCGTACGACGTGTTATGTGATTTTCATTCCCGAATGAACAGAGTCACCAACGCATGGTGTTATTGAGTACTGCGTAGTGAACAGTCGAACACCGTAAAGCACTGTTTGTAACATAGAATTTGATGACTCCGACAGTAAGAATTAAGGATCATGCATGCAGCGCAGTGGCTAGAGGTGCCCTACAATACACATTGGTTTACACTGACCACAGGATCGTTCACTCGCAATGGATTTTTAAGCTTTACATCCGTCTAGAGTCGGCGTTGAACGATTTATTCTTTATCTCTTAACAGTAGAAGTAAGGGGCAGGTATAGCGCAAAAATTAAAGGTGGACTGCAGTACAGAAGTAGTCGTTGATTTGATATCAATGTTCACCTTCGGGAGACCAAGCTCTCAGGCGCACCACTGTCGATAAATTGGTACCAGACCCGTCTGGGAATGCATAGAATGCTGTCTATTACAACGGTAGTGCATTCAATCATTTCTAGGATACTTAAGGGAGTCGGATGCATGGTGCATCCCTGAAAAATTGGTCAAGTTCGAATGATTCATCGTCTCATCCTTTTAAAGAATGGAAAATAAAGCTCTCAACGTTGATCAATCTCTGATAGATGCGCTACGTATTCAACTTCATCAAGCATCGTTAGAGGTGATTGAACGCATATCTGGCCTTTACAATGACTCGCGGTGGCCTACCGATGTGTCGAGCCAGTGCTGCTATCTTCCCAGAAAGGTCTGCTACTAATTTGCTAACCCCGGAACAAAGGAAGGCTTGGTGATCCTGGCGCGTGGGATCGAACCCATTTGTATTCCGGGAACCTCTAATCGCTCCTCCATACGCGTCCTTATCATTTTAAAAGTAAAAATGGCGATCTTTTTCGTATTTCCACTGAATATACTTAACTCACTTAAGTGCTTTTCGTTCACATTTGAGAAGGTTTTGCACCACCTATTTAGATCCACGTGCATATAAAGAACTTTTCTCTTGAAAAGTTCTCTATCTATCTAAATAATAGTATTTGAAGTCCAAATAAGGCCGCCTCGCAGTCGCACATAAACACCGCAATGTAACCTTTGTAATCTTCTCGATCAATTATGTTCAGTGTTTCAGGCACAGTAGCGATTCAGGTTTGACTTCAGTAGCATAGCGACGATGGCTTATTCGAAGGAGGCGTAACAGTGGAACAGTTTACTTCTTCGTTGCGAAACAACGAAGCTAATGACGTTTAGTGTTTCAAGCAGTTAGGTACAGTCTATTGAGGTCCAGGATCAACAATCCAGATTAACCGCGGTTGCATACGCACGCGGCTCCCGCAGCCGATATAAGCCAAGTGCCTTCGACGGCGGAGACATGCCATCACTCACCTTAACCCCGATCGGTAACGCGGAAAATCCGCTCCTCACAACCACATCCTCAATCATCCTCAATCACCTCAACTTATTCCTAGTCATACCTATTCATTCTCATTCAATCACATTCATTCACACATTCACATTCATCCTTCAGTAATCAGCAGATTATTGTATCTCGTTTCTCAGCATGTCTACGTTGCGATGTCAGTAGTGGCGGGTGTTTCCAAATGCGTTCTGTTTGCAACGCCATTGGTGGCATGTACCATTACTCCCACAATGTACGCAATGCGTACAATGCCGCTAAGCGGCCAACTTATGTATTCTGTATATATGTATATACAGCGGCTATGTATTCTGCTAAGCCGCTATAGGCTTATCAATTTTGTAGCCATTTATCATACTGGCCCTTACCCTTAGGCAATGGTGGCACCCATCGATGCTCAAAGTTCACGTTGCTGACATAGCGTTATTCACGACCAGCCGCCTGACTGTGTTCCGTAGATGACTCATCATTCACTGTCCATAGCACCGTCAACGCTCATGTAACTTACAGTCCTCATCGATCCACTAAAATGCTCCTCATCGCTATAATGTTGAAATCTTAGCTTGGCCGAAACACTGTCAGTCTGTAACCCTCACCACCTCAGCATACTGTCTCCCTCTCCGCGGCATACAGTCTTTTCCATCCGCCCCCAGCATACTGTTTCCCTCAGCTGCCGCACCGCCGCGGATAGACACGGTGCGGCGCGGCATCGCCTACGGCTAACCGAAGGCTACTTCGTTGTAATCTCATTATTATTGTTAATATTGTATTAATGGTATAATAATATTTGAATGCCATTGCCTCATTGTTAGCCTCACTTCACTATGGGCCTTAATACCTCAGAGCTCTAACTTGTCTCATTCCTCTACTGTTACCTCTCTATCGTTACTATCATGTAACTAGTGTTGTGTTTATGTATTAAATGTTTAATTACCCAAGTTTGAGGCTGGTTGATCAACTACAACAACTAAAACACCCGCGTGGCTAACATTCTACATCAATCTGAACCGCTACACTCCGCCGCTAACCATTTCCTTACAGTGCATGTCATTCAAAAATTTTTCGATAAAAACTCGGAAAAATTGGAAGAAAAAGTTGGCTGTGTGAAAAGGGTTAGAATTTCTTTGCGGTATCAGGGAATCAAATATGGCCTAATTTCTTTGGGGGTAAATGTCTTATTCAGTGATTGTCTAGCTATATTTCACTACTTTCTATCTTCTTCAACTTACGAAATGGTGGATTTTAAAGCCGTTCCTTTTTTCTCTAGGAAAGAGCTATTTTTTCGATTCTAACAGTGTCAGTTATTTGTGTTTGTCAATTGTGGATAATAACAACCTCGTGTCTGTTCATCAAGAATATAGTGAATTACTTGTGTGCGTAGCCTTACTCGGGTTGGATAGCTGAGTGGTTAGTGGTGCGGTCTACCACGAAGCAAGGTCCTGGTTCGAAACCCTCGCAGTCGACGTAGGAAGGCCTTATCCAGCTATCTCCAAAATTGCAAGAATCGACTGGACGAGGATTCTACGACATTCACGGGTGAGGTGAACAAATCCTCAAGCGGCAGCCAAAACAACATGCGAGATTTTTGAAGATCTTTGTTAACAATGAATGAGTGGTACGGAAATGAATCCGACGAGAAGTGCTGGGATCCGCACAGCACACATGATGAAGGGTCATGTATGAATAAAAACTATTAGTAATAGTAATAATAACAATGGTAACAGTGATAATAGTAAAATCAATAATAGAAAAAGGATAAAGCTCTTAGCGTTGATCAATCCATAAGGGATGCGGAACGCATTCGACTTCATTAAATATCGTTGGAGGTGATTGAATGCATATTTGGCCTTTACAATTACTCTCGGTGGCCTATCGATGTATCGAGCCATTGCTACTATCCCACAGACAAGTTTGGTACCAATTAGCCGACTCCGGAAGGATAGAAGGCTTGATCGGCCATGGCTACAGGGATCGATTCCAAGTGTGAATAGTAGGGCGTCTCTGACCATTGCGCCACACGCAAAGTACTAATAATGATAATTTAGTCTGAGTCCAACTCTAATAGTGAACATTCCGTGATTATCTATGGAATTACATGCATTTTGATTTTTATGCCGTTAAAAAGGAAAACATTATTTATAGTAAAACTCAAACATATGCTTTGTACCGCCTCTGCGCGATGCCAACGCAAGAGAAAGTAGAGAACAAAATAAGTCGTACTTTTCTGATCAATGACTCTGAGGAAGATGAAGACGCCGAAAAGTTGTCGAATAAACGTTTGCTAACAACCTCGTGTTAGCTTATCAGTGAAAAACACGCAGGACACACTCAAGAACTTTCCGTTCTTCTTGAGATGAGCACAAAACAGAAGGATGTGGCGTGAATAATAATAGTTTGCCCCGTCCTAGAAGTTGCACATATTGTCTCTTCACCACTTTCGAGATGGTCACTGTTATCAGAAGTTTCTTTGATTGTAGTTCCATTTTCGCAATTTTTCTGTTCAATCGTAACATTGAAATGCGCTGATCATGGATATGAAAACATTTTTTTGCCTGAAAAAACATACATACATATATATATGCATATATGCATACATATACATGCATATACACATACACATACACATCTATATACACATATACACATACACACATACACACCGTGGTAGTTGAGTTGTTTGATTTGACGTTACTGCTCGACATCTCCTACTAAATATAACTTTTCATCCACTATCCAATAATATACAATTTATTGACCATTGATGACGTCACTTTCTTGACCAGTGGTGTATCATAAAGAGAACTAGTGGCAAACTTTCCTGAGAGGATAAAAGCACTTCCTCGTTGGTGGACACCTCCAGGTCACTGCATTGGGCAAGCAAGCATTCATGTTGTATATAAAAGGTGGATAAAGGATTAAGCATTCGACGTTAATCAATCCCTGATGGATGCGCCGTGGAACCCAGTTCATCAAGCGTCGTATATAGGCTTTCTTTGGTCTATGGATGTATCAGATCAGTGCTGCTGCCCTCCTAGACAACCATAGCACCAGTTGCAATTTCTAGAACTTATTAGCAAGACTTTTTTTGGTAGGTCCAGAGTACATTTCATTTAGCCCAAAAATCTTTCATTAGACAGAAAATGGGAAATGAAAGCAAGAATTGATGGTTGTCTTCTTTCTTTCTGTATTCCATTACTAATAAATATTTTATCGATATAATTCTATCCTATACCGTTGACATTCAATAAGTTGTTCAACAACTACAATGGAATACGTAAGATGAAATTCTTCTCATCGATTACTACAAAGAGACATTTGCCATCAAAAGGCGGTTCCTGTTGAAAAAAGGTTAGCCATTTCCCGGAAGGCATTGCTCAGGTGACATCGGAATCTCGTAGAATCCTAACCAAATCAAATTCTTGAAATACGTATGCCTCTGAAGAAGTTGAACATTAGGCGAATTAACCAACCGTATTTTCAGCGGATTTATAGCTCGTCACGTGAGCAAAAATGCTGTGATTTCCTCCAAATCGATAGCACACCCCTAAAAGCGAAGAAACCCATAAACACAGAGGGAAAAAAAAACTTAAAGAAGAATCAAGAAATTCCTCTACCGTAGCCACGTGGTGTGACAGCTCCAAAGCAAGCGCCTATCCAACTTTTCCATACTTCGTCGTCCTCATTAATCTGGTTTGTCACATTCGGTATCTAGGAATCAGAATAATGATCTCAGTTGGGTTGCCCACATTTGCAATAAGTATTTCCTTATGATCAGTCAAAAAAAAACAAGACAGATTTACAAAATTTATGGATGTAAATTTTCTCCTACAATGATAGTAGACCAACATGCGAGGTGGACAACAGCCAAGGTTGGACAATATAATGATCCAGGAATGGACTGGAAATGAACGATCCTTGAGAAAGTAAGTACAGCACGAACAGATGCTTATCTATTCCTTGACCAGTCTGAAACCTCTGCAAACTGTAAGAAAGAGAGACGTGAAAGAGGAAACCTACATCTTCACATTTTGAAGAAGTACTCAACACTCTGCAATCACCCGTCAGCGGGTTTGATCTGGGGGGGCGGGGGGGGGGGGGGGGGGGGGGGGGGGGGGGCAAATCGGCAACGAACCCAGTTAAGCTGAGGTCCGGAGTTTTGTAAGTATTTCAGCATCATTGAAGTTGTATGATGGCAGAGATCGATAGAACTAGCTGAGAGACAAGCGAAATGAAGGACCCGGATGGTGTGGTGGTGAACGCGTTACTCCCCGGAAAGGACAATAGCGCGTTCGTTCCCCACTGCATACACCTGCGGTCCGGAGTTTTGCAAATATCTCAGCATCATTGAAGTTATATTTCGTAATGTATACCCCGCCGTTAAAAAGAGTAGGCAGTAAATAATAAGTTAAATCTCTAATGAGCACTTTATTTGCAATGTCCGGCATCGTTTACCGTCTCGATTCCCGCTTTTTAAATATACTGGTGTAAAACGAAACTTACCTTTCCTAATAAGCGTTGTTTCACTTTCTAAATCTTGCGGCTATACTCTGTGACTGCTCGCTCACTGCAGATAACTATCTAGTTACTTGACACTTCAATGGCCCGTCCTCACTGGTTGTGCGAGCCCCTGCATAATCTCCGTTTTTCGGAGATTTGCTGGTTAAGCCATTGTGGTTCTCTGGATTCCTTAGATCTGCTTGGCCAAAGTCTGCCCCAGGTCTTTACCACCACGGGCACTCGGAGTTCTTGTGGATCAGAGGGAGATTTACCACCATGCGACTTTGATACCAGGACGGTGGTTGGTCCTGGTATTGGTTTACTCATAGCAAGGCTTCCTGATGGAAACGCCGGACTCCTTCTCAGCATGGGAGACCCTGCCAGAGGATGAATCCCCTGCTGTACATCGCAGTCCGGCACCCCAGGAACACCTCCCAGCCTTGATGGGGCGGTAAACCATTGAGAGATAACTTTCAAATCTAGAATTTTGTCAGCTTCTTGCTAAGAGGGATGCTGTTTTACACACGCATAAATAAAAGTAATGGAAAGGCAAAAAGGTAAGAGTTGAGGTCGAACTCATCATTGCCTCCTTATTCCTTTTAGTATGCACAGCACATGCAGCTCGCAATCGCTTGACCTTTTCTTCTTTCTGCAAGTGTAGAAATGAAAAGAATATTGTCCTATTTATAACAATTCTACTTTCACTTCTAATAACACAGGTAATCGGCAGGACTTACTGGAACTCTTTCGTTTAGCATGGAAAGAACGAATTCGCACGATTCATTGGTGACGGTTCGTAGAGTTTCTGTGCGGGAATTCTTATAGAATCGAGCAGACGCCGATTCGTATGTCAAAACAAAGCGCTCTTGATCCTTGAAAAAGACTGGTCTTTATTATTTTCTTCTAAATTTTGCTCTTTGGTTTGCTTTTCCGTCTATTTTTCTTTACTTTTCTTTTTAATGATAGTTATCTTCTAGTCCATTGCTGTCAAAATCGGCTTCTTTCACTGGATTTTTCTTCTTCTACCTAGGGCTAGGAACGTGTTTTTACCCGACATTGACATGGACGTTATTTAATCGTGACAAACATCCAGCATTTAATGTAATGGCAATGAACTCTTTCGAAAACCGGTTGTTCGACAGGCTGACAGTTGATGGACTAAAAGGATTTCAGTGCAATTCGTAACCGAGAAAAATTCAGCATTCGTCTCACACGTGTTCACCAAACAGTTTTAAGGTAGTGTAGGAACCTGGGAAAATATCATGAAATTTCTAACGTTTGCCAAGCGATTTCCAGATATCTTCTACGCTGACGATTTTAAACATACGAGCTTCTGACGTGGGGTCACAACCATTGAAAACACCGGCTCACCCAGTAGTTGGCAAGTTGGATTGCCATCTGCACGAAGGCGTCGGGCGAGACTCCGAATGCTTTGATCAGACCTTTGCCAAATTCCCTGCAACATGACGATTGTAGAAGCTGGAGAACCTCAAATCATGATTGAAAACTGGTTTTGAAGTCCTAAAACATTCAGGACATTAAGGCGCAAAAATAAACCATCCAATGTAATCACTTTTTTTTTTACTGTGTATCGTTTTTTGATGGTAGAGTATGATGTGAAATATAACCACAATGATGCTGAGATATTTGCAAGACTCCGGACCGCAGGTGTCTGTGGTGGAGATTGAACGCGCTATTACCCTTTGAGGGGGTTAACGCGTTTACCGGCACACTGGTGCTATCAGCACCCGTCAACGGGATTGATCTGGGCGAACACATCATACCCTGCCATTAAAAGGGAATAGGCAGTAAATAAAAAGTTATTACATTGTCATTTATATTATTGTAGCGGTGAAGCTTTTAGCTCCCGTAAAGGGTATTAGCGTGTTTGATCTCCACACACTGCAGTCACCTGCGGCACGGTGTTTTGCAAATACCTAAGCATCGTTGTGGTTATATTTCAGAAAATTAATAGCTCATCTAATAGAAGTTGTAGAGGCCATCATCCGTGGAAAGCTGTTCTGGACATTCTATAATTTACAAAAAAACCTTCAGACGATCAATAATTTAACTGATTGACTGTTCTTTCTTTTCAAATCGCTATTGTGGATGTTAAATCGTGTAATCGAAAGAGTGACCTGGAATTAGAGATCGGCACCAACGGACATAACCATTATAATCAAACGAACTGCGTATTTCTAAGATAGGACTCAAAAGTTAGAGATAAAATTCAGCGCATCATCATCGGTTCAATGATTCTGATAGGTCATTTCATTACGATATGATTTATCTCCCAGTAGTCTCATCCGGCACAGAAATATTCCTGTTGTCAGTTACCTGAATACCATCGCCGCCATGTGCACATCATCGCGTAACTTTGTATATTCCGAATAACTGCGCTCAATTTCTACAGCCATCTAAAAATGAGTGCGATAAGATTAAAGGCAGACGATTTTAATTCTACCGTATTAGATAAATAAGTGCTGGAATATTTAGCCCGCTCATGCCATTCATACCGTATGTTTAACCACTTCGCGTCAGGGCTGGTATTAAGCCAACTGGCGGTAATTCCTCGGCCACTAGAACGTTTTAGGAGTTCAGAACTATATTGGCTTGTAGAAAAGAGACTTTGCTCTATCGCATTCATCGTTTAGACATGGTTTCCAAGGAAAATGATAACGAATCCAGGTTTCTGGAATTTTAAGCGAGATGGCGGCAGCTGCAAACGCAAACAATGCATTGAGGAACACCTGATGTCATACTGAACGGAATTGCGTTTGTTAATTTACTCTCGTGTTCGAAATAGGAGCTTCGAAACAAAAGAGGTGTAGAATTATGCTTCATCGGTTGTAGTAAATGAACATTTCACAAAAGAAAAGTCTTATTTCTTATGCAGAGAACTGTGGATTCTAAGTCTTTCTCATCGTATGACTAATATAAAGCTCACGTCGTCGAATAAGCGCTAAGCGTGCATGAAGTGGAAAGACTAAAGATGCCGTTGTTACAATGCACATGTGGTCCTTGGTTCGATCTCGCGTCCTGGGCTAGCCAAACACTCCACATTTCTAGGCCGACGGATTGCTAACAAACTTGGATGAAAAAATCAACCTCTGTTACGATGATTAATGCTGTCCACGGCACATAGTACATCCTTAGGAAACTGATCAACGTCAAACGTCTTATCTTTTTATTTTATCGTTAACATTCCAATAAGTGCTTAGTTGGTCTGCCATATCAAGCTGTATGGTTCCATTGTTGAAAAAATCCAGAGATTAAAGTTCTGCCAACTTAAAAATGCATAATGCCAATGTTGACAAATATACAATTAATGCATTTTCATACCTCCGAACTAACATCAATAGGCAAACGAACAGCGAGTTTAAGTCCTTGGTCGGACTCGGTTAGCTTTTCAATATTCCGCTGCTCTTCCAGAGAAGGAATCCTGCGTATGAACTCGAGAGATAAAAGAACTTCAAGCAATATCATCAATTCAATGAGTTGTACTGGTTCAAGACTGCGAGCATCACGACGACGCTCGGTTGTGTCCAGCCGCTGGCGATGCGGCTGACCGACACACCGATCGTTCCGCCAAGTGAGTAATCGCAGCGAAAAGTAGTCTTATTCAATCATATACAGAATGCAATCACAGAACTCGAAGTAGTGGTTTTTCCACCATAACATCTATACCAACTCTGTCAGGAGCTCGTTTGCCGTGAAATTCTCCATTATATGGTCGAACTCTGCGCCATCACCAATTGAGTGTTCTACTGTCCCACCAAACTGTGAAAAAACAAACATTATAAGAAATACCAAAATAAAAAGTGGTAGTGAATAAATGTACGGTTAATCTTAAAGTTCTGAGAATAGGGAAAGAAAACGCGACAATAATTCGTTCCGAGATTTGTTGAGTTGTGAACAGGTTTGAGAAGAGTTAAAGACGGCTTATAGCTTAGCTTGCACAATGATTTCCATCTCATCAGTGCCCTCACACACTGGTGCAATCAATGCTTGTATATTTCCCTTTTTGTGCTCCGTGTTCACATGTTATGCAGATCTCAGAGCTCCTGTTCGTTACGGTGTCTTAGAAACATCACTCATCAAAGTGACGCTAACTAGTGATTTGAGCCCGAGACAGTTGTGATAAGACGTTCACAAGTTCAACACAGACAATTGCAAGTTCTTGTGAATCGGATGGATCTGATGACGCCCTGCGGAACTAAGATTTTTCAAGGCTATAGCAATTCTTGTGGCAACAAAGATTGATGCCATAAATCGGTCAATGGGATGACGATGATTTGTTAGACCTCGCTTCAGCAGTCATCAGTTCAAGACGAAAGTTAGCGATTTCTGACCTATGAACAAACTTTTTATGGGAAATTACTGTAATATGAGTCTCAACATTTGAAGATGAGGCCGGTCGTTTTTGATTTACCACATTCGCTCTTATCCGAATGTCCGTATTGGAGTAACAACATCACCCAAAATCTCATAGGGCAATGGGAAGTTATCATTGAAGTAATTTTAACACCAGACAAGATTTCAGCCACCTTATTTCAAGCTGGGGCCTACCTGGAGAAAATTAGAAATTTATCTTGCAACAACCATTACATTCTACTTTCAAACACAATGAATGAAGCTAAACTAAATGATAGAGATGGATTCCATCAGCTGAAAAATTTGTAAACACCTTAAAGAGGATTAAGGGAAGGTCTTTAAGGTCGACCACCACTATAAATATTGAAACAAACCGAAAAGTTTTGGTCTCGGAGAATATCTTGTCATCATTGTCCTCGTGAACACCTATATAATGGAAAATGGCTGAGCGATCGTAGTACGAAAAAAAACGGCAATAATCGATGTATAAATGGTATGGAATGGAGACACAATGTATCGATGTAATTCAGTGTTCTCAGTTTTCGAAGTCCAAATTCATAATCTGGATCGAATACAATGAAGAGCCAGTTGATAATATAGTTTGTAATGGCCGGAAATGAGGGAAGATATGACTGCACAGCGGATCACTTGTGTAAATACTGGTTAATACCTCGAGGAACAACGAGGCAAAAACACGAAGCGAACGTGGGATCATATTTTTGGTAGACTGCAGAGTGTACTTATTCGAAAATTCATAAGAATTCTTAGTTAATACTAACGTCCTCCACTATTTCAGTACTGTACCATGGTCATTCGATTGCTGGTGAATAGTGAAATCCGTAGCTCCGATACAACCGCAATATTCCAGCACCTTACTCGCCACTCTTATCATTCTACTATCATGCGTATATTATCATCGAGGTAAGTTCATCGATCATCAAGGGGTTTTAAATGATAAATTTACTCGTAAGTTCTACTCCGCGAAATAATCCGAAGGTCTGGAAGAAATGAGCACGCCATTTTAACCAAGGTGAACTCTTCTAAAGGGGAAGCGAAAGGTGTTCTTTATAACGTCCTTACGTATCCATACTCATGTAAATTATCGTACTCCTCAGAGCTAAGTACTAGAAATAGTTACCAATTAACGTAACTATGGTGAACTCACTCGTCCATTTTTTGAAACGACATAATTCAGCGACTTATCCGCCCAGCGATCTATTCCGTTCCCGGTTAGCATATTTCGAAGGAAATGTGATATTTTGTCAGGATTCTCCTGAATCATCATTGTCTTAAAAGGCTGCGAATTCTACCAAAGCAAAAACGCATTAGGTGATATAAATCCTCGTGGAAAATAAGATGCATTAGACAGTATCACCATGAGGTGCAGAGGAAAATTACAATCGTTATACTATTACCAGAAAGGGTAGAGCAGTGGTTAGAGATGTCGTACAGTTAGCAGAGGATCGTGGCTGGATCATAATCCTGCAGTTAAACAAGACTCGCATTCATCCGGCGTCGGCGAATTGGTACTAGGCTTCTCTGAGAGAATTAGAACACCGGGCAGTCCACTAACGAGCCACCTCAAGTCGCTGCGTAGATCAAATATGTGGTTAGTCATCACAATGCTACCTACTAAGGTAGAATGCACTGCGCCTTCTTAAGGGATTGATTAACAGCGAACTTTTTTTGCCTAAGCATAGCAGAATACTTTTTTGTGTGATCAATGAGGAGTGAGAGTGATAATAAAGCAATTGTTGCTAACGACGTCGAGTACTGAAGTAACTAGTGCGAATTTAAGGATAAGGGATAAAGCTCGCGGCTTTGATCAATCCCTGAGGGATACGTCATGCATTCGACTTTAGTATCGTTGGAGGTGATTGAATGCATACCTGGCCTTTACAACGACTCGCGGTGGCCTACCGATGTATCGAGCCAGTGCTGCTATCCTCCCAGACAAGTCTGGTACCAATTCACCAACCCCGAAGGGACAGAAGGTTTGGTGGGCCATGGGCGTGGAGATTGATTCCACGTGTGTCGCAGTGGCGCCTCGAACTACTGCGCCACACCGTGCTCTGTGAATTTAGGAGGTCTAATGTCACAGTGATTAAGAAGGAAAACCAGCGTTTTCTTTGTTTGAATTCTGTTTCGACGTCCATCTACAACAAGAAAACGCGCAATATCAAGACCATAAATGTAGGGCTAACATGAAAATCTTTAAGATTTTCCATTATATGTAAGCAACCAAGCCATCATGCAACGATCAGACAGTCGACGGATCTGAAGAGTGGTAGACTTAATCTTGACAGAAACGCTTCTCTGTTAAATAATACGATTGATTGACATTCAGGAATGAAAAGACTATGTAATCCTGCAGTTAAACACTACTAAATTTGAAGAACAAGTGAAAACTTCGATTGGGCCAGCCAACGCAAAAAGAAGCAGCATCGAATATCAAGGGAACGAACGTTAGTAGTCCGTAATCGAATTTTCAATCAGATTTATCACGTGTTCACTCTCTGTGGCGGAAGGCCCGCCATGATTTAAACTTCGAAATCAGGTCTCACATCATCGTAACCATACTAGGAGGAGTCAAAGGTAATTATGAAAGCGGCCGACTCGATCTGACGCAACGTCACGGCGTTCACCGGGTGTTGCACGAAGAATTTCAATCTATTGTGAGCCCATCGGTCACTAAAAAAAAACAAAAACACGCAGATCTCACTAAAATTTTTTTCATTGAGTTTTTCCATCTTTTTCCAGTCGTTTAGTTACGCGATTTAAAGAAATACAGTAAAACGAAATTGTTTTGCGGTTTTCCCTTTCGAAGAATATTGCATTCGCGGATAGACGCGGTGCGGCGCGGCATCGCCTACGGCTAACCGAAGGCTACTTCGTTGTAATCTCATTATTATTGTTAATATTGTATTAATGGTATAATAATATTTGAATGCCATTGCCTCATTGTTAGCCTCACTTCACTATGGGCCTTAATACCTCAGAGCTCTAACTTGTCTCATTCCTCTACTGTTACCTCTCTATCGTTACTATCATGTAACTAGTGTTGTGTTTATGTATTAAATGTTTAATTACCCAAGTTTGAGGCTGGTTGATCAACTACAACAACTAAAACACCCGCGTGGCTAACATTCTACATCAATCTGAACCGCTACACTCCGCCGCTAACCATTTCCTTACAGTGCATGTCATTCAAAAATTTTTCGATAAAAACTCGGAAAAATTGGAAGAAAAAGTTGGCTGTGTGAAAAGGGTTAGAATTTCTTTGCGGTATCAGGGAATCAAATATGGCCTAATTTCTTTGGGGGTAAATGTCTTATTCAGTGATTGTCTAGCTATATTTCACTACTTTCTATCTTCTTCAACTTACGAAATGGTGGATTTTAAAGCCGTTCCTTTTTTCTCTAGGAAAGAGCTATTTTTTCGATTCTAACAGTGTCAGTTATTTGTGTTTGTCAATTGTGGATAATAACAACCTCGTGTCTGTTCATCAAGAATATAGTGAATTACTTGTGTGCGTAGCCTTACTCGGGTTGGATAGCTGAGTGGTTAGTGGTGCGGTCTACCACGAAGCAAGGTCCTGGTTCGAAACCCTCGCAGTCGACGTAGGAAGGCCTTATCCAGCTATCTCCAAAATTGCAAGAATCGACTGGACGAGGATTCTACGACATTCACGGGTGAGGTGAACAAATCCTCAAGCGGCAGCCAAAACAACATGCGAGATTTTTGAAGATCTTTGTTAACAATGAATGAGTGGTACGGAAATGAATCCGACGAGAAGTGCTGGGATCCGCACAGCACACATGATGAAGGGTCATGTATGAATAAAAACTATTAGTAATAGTAATAATAACAATGGTAACAGTGATAATAGTAAAATCAATAATAGAAAAAGGATAAAGCTCTTAGCGTTGATCAATCCATAAGGGATGCGGAACGCATTCGACTTCATTAAATATCGTTGGAGGTGATTGAATGCATATTTGGCCTTTACAATTACTCTCGGTGGCCTATCGATGTATCGAGCCATTGCTACTATCCCACAGACAAGTTTGGTACCAATTAGCCGACTCCGGAAGGATAGAAGGCTTGATCGGCCATGGCTACAGGGATCGATTCCAAGTGTGAATAGTAGGGCGCCTCTGACCATTGCGCCACACGCAAAGCACTTGGCATCAACGCCGAGAGCTTTATCCTTTATCCTTTTTTTAGAGCAGTTGAGTGCTTGAGAACCTAACAGACTTGTATATGAAGCCAGTACGGTATGGAAACATGAACTTTCACAAAGTTTGACTCTCGCTTTGAAATCTGAGTTTTCTAGATTTCAAAGGTATTTTTACATAATGTTTTTACAACTAAGTCTCAAAGATTTGTACACACCATTGAGCCCTGCTAGGCGAAATGCATCTCGTTTAATCGATTCTCTTTTCGAAATACGAGCATTGGCGAAAAGTAAGATTCATAATATGTTTGGGATCGGAGGCATGAGAATTTCATATTAGTTGAATAAAAAGTTCTCATTGGTGCTAAAAGGTGTGCCCGTTCTAGTTGCCTTTATTTCAATGAGTAAAGTCCATTATTAATTGAGAAATGGTTGCCCAAGGTCAAATGACTCATTTTTACAAAGTCATAAGCCGAATATGGCTCATATCGTCCCATGCTTAAAATTTACCGCGAGTCAGCCGTGAGAGCTGCAACCTTTCTTGCCGATCCTTGAGCTTTCTCTCCACGGGACAGCATTTCAGTGTAGATTCTAAATTTACAATTCTTAGAATCTTATAGGCGTAGTTAAAAATATTGAGCTCACTTCGCCAACTGATTAATAGAGTAAATACGATTCTCCTCGTCGCATAACATGACTTTGTAGAAGCGCCCATCAACGATGGCAACGATGTGTTTCGAAATTCCTCAACAAGTATCAGATCTGAACGTTGCTGTTCTATCTACTTAGAAATCAATGAGATTCCACCGTACCGTAATTCATCAGTTTATCTATTCTCTCGCCAGGAATGCGGCATGTACTGTAGAGCTTATCATAGTGATTTGAGCAAACGAGACCATTGCCGAGCTGAAGAAATGAGGAGTGAATGGATCAAAAATCAAAACGGAAATCCGTGGAAACTTATTTTTATTCCAAGGCAGAAAACTTGGTGTTAAAACTTACGGTAGGATGAACTTGTGAGACATCTTCCAACTACATACTGGCAGTAGAACTCAGCTTCGCAGGAAGTTAATACCAGATTTGTAATTCCATTTTTTTGTATGTGTTTTAGCAGCAGTTTTTTTTTTCCGAATGCTGTACTATCATTGAGTTTTAAAGGAATTACTCTCCGATTTCCACCGGTGACTCAAAGTGGAATATCGCAGCTCAGAATAAACTTTATTAATCGAAGCGAAAACTACTTGAATCTTCACGTTTCTTTTGTTTCAGCGAAAAACTGGGAACATATTCGCTCATGCCGATTGCATGAACGTCTGCAGACGTCTGGAGATGATGAACCGCGCTTGAAGGCAGTTTCCGCATTTCCTTTCTCTCGCAGCAGAAGTTCTCGAGGTGTCTAGTGGATAGGCGAGAGCTCTGACGCGCGTGCTCGATTAGGCAGGCTGTCGTAGCCCTCACAACCTTCACAGTGTCCGTAGTAAGGCGTGTGACTACGGGTTATCGCTGACGATTGATCTGTTCTTGTTCACCAATGCATGGCGCAGTCGTTGAAGTTTCCGGTGTCTCGTCGATTTGTTGCACGTACTACTCCGCCGCAATCTTCTCAAGGAAGCGTAATAGATGAAAACAGGTGTAGACCACCAAACGGTCACTATGATCTTCCTTTGGTGCAATCTCGGTCTTGCGAAGTGAAGTGGAGTTTCATCGCGGTCCACCAGTGAATGTTCGTCTCCTTTTATCACAGAAAATTCACTTCTAGTCTCACGGCACAATACGGGTGAGAAATTGGTAATTTTCGTTGCGCAGAAGGAGCGTCGACGATGCTTCAAAACGATGATTTCCTTGATTCTTCTTCAATTCTTACAACAGCCGTTTGTCGATCTTCTTCGAAGTTTTAACCTTTTTAGATGCTCCAATACAGTTGAAACACTTACGTCGAGTTTTCTACAGGTTGCTGAACAGTTCTGCGTATATTTACTGCCATCAATGCACGATCATCATTAACAGAAAGATGTCCACGACCTCTCTCATCTTCAAGGTGGAATTCGCCAGGACGAACTTTTTGAAACCAACGTCGCATTGTACGTTCGCTAAACTTTCTTGGCCCCATATCTCATGAAATCTTTCAGGCCGTTCACGCTATGTGCTCTCGAGTTTTATCTCACTGAAGTATGATTTCTCGAAGTAGATTTCTTTCGGACTTCTCTATTTGTAACCCTTAAAGTCCGTCGAAAATTCAAGTTACAGTGCTACTACCGATTCGAACTTTTAAAATGATTTTTTAATGAAAAAATACTTGCAAAACGTGGACCCTAGGCCAGATCGATTACTCTTTCCGGCAGTTCACGTGGTAGCCACTGCACCCATTGAGACCCTCGCTTTGCTTTTCTCTTCAAAACATATCAAAGAAAAACAAATGTACAAAGCGTCAGTCAATTTTCGAACTATTGATGATGCATAATGATGATGATGTTTTCGCCCCGCCTAAAACTGAACTAGAATTTCCTCTCGCGATGTAACTCTTCACATAGAAAGCTAAAATAGAGTTCTCAGCGTTGATCAATCCCTGAGGGATGCGCCATGCATTCGACTTCATTGAGTATCGTTTGAGGTGATTGGATGCATAGCTGTACAATGACTCGCGGTGGCCTACCGATATATCGAGCCAATGCTGCCATCCTCCCAGATAAGTCTAGTACCAATTTGCCGACCCCGGAGGGATGGAGGACTTGGTGGGCCATAGGCGCGGAGATCGATTCCGCACGTGTGTCGCAGTGGCGTCTCCAACCGCGCGGCCATGGGAAAACTTTTCACATACTAATTATTAATTACATGTTTTCACTAATGTATTATGAAATATGTACCAGCACTGTAGTATAAGAAATTTGATGCAGTGGCGAGAAATTTGACCTCACCTTCGCTTTGTTTAAATATAGTTTGTTCCATACTTTCTTTAGATTAGGAAACAAGAAAAAAGCCATTCACCGGCTTGACAGCTTGCCTATCGATGGCTAACTGCGACATGCACTCGTAGTAGGAGATGTGAGCCGCCATGAACGCCTCGGTCATCCGGCGGTTGGCGGGCACATTCAGGAGATCCGCGTGAGCGACGCTGCTGTGCACCAACAACGGACATCTGCGAACAAAACAAGGTAACTGCTGCAGAACTGTTTTCGAGAAGCGACAGATACAATTACTTTTCTATGTTTTTTATCCTCGCTTAGTGTCACGTCAGTCCTACATTTAACTAAAATGATGAGAAATTTAAAACAAGTATTGGTGCATTGATTAACGAAAAGAGGGTTTTTTCGGACAACTTTAGTATTGACTTGTCTAATCCGAAATAATAAATGGTTGGTACGTTTGGGGCTCAAACCATTGAGTACGATGGGCTATTCGATACGGTGAATTTATGTACCTGCCTTTTATGGTCGTGATTACGACACGGACGAAAACGCCAATTAAGAACTTCAATAGGCCAAAAATCGATAATCCAATGTTTCAGTGCCCAAGTTGATATCTAGGTACTTGATTGCACAAAGACTAAAGGAACGGCAAGGTCTTTGGGAAATACAAAAACCATTTATAAAGTAAATGTCGGGATCTAGAACATTTACAAATCAGAGCACAGTCTAAAAGAAATAACTTGCAGTCGTGGAAACATTTGAAAACTAGGAAAGGCTATACAGTAGTACTAACAATTAATCAGAAGATTTCCCTGGCTCCACACAAACCTTCTATAGAGGTAAGCGTATTTCTCCCACAAGGGAGTGATATAATTGTCTGAGGTCATGGACATGATCCAAGCGCACTTTTGTAAACGGCGACCTTCATTTTCCAAAAACGACTGAGCTTGTTCTTTTAACACCTCAAGTTGATCCTATAAAGTTTACAAGTTAGTGAAGAAAATATTTTTACGACTGACCAGTACGTTAGGTTGTAAAAATGAAACTCACTGGAAAAGGGCAACAGAAACACGTTGCAAATCGAACCAACCTTTCGTGAAACCATATCAAAGAAACTAAGCTCCTGATACAATATATTAGATTGGCATTATTACACTTAATATTTTATGCCTAAATGGCTCGTCTTCTTGAAGAGTCATTCAGACTCCAGCACTCAGTTGACTGGCGTGTTTTTTACTCAAAAATTTCTTTCTAGGAGTTCTGAAAAGCTTTTGCCGCAACACTCCCACCGAAATCGTCAACAGTGAGCGTTAGCACTGGGGTTAAGATAGAACTTTAACTTCGAGGACTGATTTCTTCCAACGCAGTGGCGGTTTATGGTATTTGTCTGCCTAAATCTGAACTACTGAGTGGTTAGTTGACGTTGTCAGTTTCGGTGAACCTGGAGACGAAGAATAAATATGCGGCTACACATCGCAGCAATACAACGAGAAACACTACTAGTCACGATGTGTAAAATCATAGCGAAGAATATTATTCACTTATATCATCAGCCTGTTGCGCGTGTAGCGCAATGGTTGCAGATGACCTGCGGTTCACTGAACCGGTCACTGGTTCGGTCCTAAGACCGAGATTCACTAAGCCTCCCATCTCTGCTCAGGTAAACATTGTTATCAGACTTCTCTGAAAGTGATGGCACATCTCTCACGGATTGATGAACTCAGAACACTCTATCCTTTATATTTTATCATCTGCTTTTCGTAATAAATTGATTCTAACGGCTGTCAGGACTACCACATCATTAACGTCGCATGGCATAACGGGCTAGTCAGTTCTGCTCGCTCAACGAACACGCATGGTTTATGCTTTAACCCAAGATCTTCGAGAAGAGGTGCAACCATGAGATTGGTGGCCTATCTAATGTACTCGTGATATCTCATAGGACCCAGTTGCTAAAGTTTGTACTTCACCCACTTTGGGTTAACTGTTCTAATAGCTGCAGAAAACAAATAGCTTTGGACTATTTCTTTTCATGCACTCTACCTTTCTGAGGATGTTTTTAACTGAGTCGAGGTACCTGAAAACAGTTTCCTCTAGATTCGGTACAGTAGGACTGGGCAGAAGATTTTCATTCGACTTGAGAATTGGAGGAGAAATCAACAGCAACAGTTTATGACAAATCTGAAACGAACTTGAAGTTCGGAAAAGTCGGAAAATAAATGGGGATGTACACTGAGAAACATGCTGGAGTGACGTACATGCCAGACTTTAGTGGCCAATGAGGGCTTTTTTGGATCCTCGAACAAGTACCTTTTGTAAGAGAAGTAGAAGCAGCTTAGGAACTGTCTCAATAAAAACACAGGAATATACGCAGTGACGATAGAAATTACACATAACTTCGTGCACTGAAATCGTGAAGATGACATACTGATATAGCTTATTTCTATTCCTAACTGATTACTGTTCCCGCTGGGGTAACAAGTTATGACTGTTTAAAGCCCCGCTATGGAAATTTACATGGCGAGGATCGTGCTAAGTGGTGTTCACTGAGTAGATAAACAACCTAGTGAAAAGATATGGAATGGGCAAACCGCATTGCCCTATTTTATCGAGGTGAAATCGAAACCTTTTTGGAACATCATACCGCAAATTCTGTTTCAATTTGTGTGAAAAAGAAATACTTAGAAAAGACGGGAAAAGTTGGAAAAAAAACCTCAATAGATCTGCTCCGAAAAACAGGTAGAAAACGAAACAACGGGGCAGGTGAGATCCTTATTTGTAGAGCACCCATTGAAGTGACTCCAATGGTAAAATACAGCGGTCGTACAGGCCAAAGACGATTATCCATCGAAGCCTGAACCCATTTCATTTAGTACAAAAGTCTTATGCGCATATAATATTAAGAATCTTGACACTGTTCTACCAGCTATGTAACGTTCTTAATTCTTTAAACACAAACGTAACTACGAATTTCTTGGCATATCGCTTTAATAGATGTCCTACACTAAGAGTAAATCTCATTAATAACTGAGTGGCTTAACTAGGAATAACGACGGTCACATTCGTCGGCGCATGTCAGAAATGTTCAGTTGCCTCGCTCGTTAAGGAAACGCAAAGAGTTTCACACTCCTTGAACGAGTGCCTACATTGTTGCTCTCTTAGCTTTATTTCTTACTATGGGGCGAATAGTGCAGTGATAGTGATGCCATACATCACAGAAAAGGCACTTGTTCGATTCTATTCAGGGCCCACCAAGACATTCATACATCTGGAGTAGGAAAATTGATACTAGACCCATCTAACATCAGTTCGCTTTTTCCACTTCATATGGGGGTACTCTAACACAGTTATCCTAAGATTCCAGGTAGAATCCACTCAAACAGCGTTCGACGACTTTCATATCGAAGGCAAAAGCTCGCAACCAGCAGGCAGGTGATGCCATACGCAAAAACGTCCGAAGACCTTGATGTAAGGAGACAAGTCGAATGTAAGAATTCATGCAATCCAAACAATGTGGCACATGTGGTGTCGGACAATGCGAAATAAAAGGATAAAAATATAAATCTCTCAGCGTTGAGGCGTCGTTTCATGAGGTATGCGCTATGCATTCGACTTGATTAAGCATCGTTTGAAGGAGATTGAATGCATATCTGGCCTTTACAATGACCCGCCTACCGATGTATTGAGCCAATGCTGCTATCCTCCCAAACAAGTCTGGTACCAATTTGCCGACCCCGGAGGGGTGGAAGGTTTGGTGGGCCATAGGCGCTGGAATCGATTCCACGTGTGTGTTGCAGGGCGCCTCCAACCACTGCGCCACAGGCGTCTAATAATTCTGAATGATTCGTTTAAAACCGTTCGAAATTTTACCACAAGAGGTTTAGTTCACATAATTTTTTTAAACAAATAGTGTTTCATTCATGCTCTTACAGAACATAGATCTAATAAATGAACGACGGAGAGCCCATAAAAAGCAAAACATGTGCACCTGGTAACAGGACGTCGTAAGACTCACATAGAATCTATAACAAGCTCTCCTGAATGGTGAAGGAAAGCGATGAGTTATGCTGGATGGCCTCACTAACGGTCCAACTGCAGCACCATTCCACGTGTTATTGTTTGACATTACAGCCTGATTTCACAATTAAAGCTTCGACCCTACTGAATACTGTACTCGCACAAAGGAAGAATGAAGCATTCAGTTAACCCAAGTGAAATCGAGTTGTCCTAAAAAAGAAAAAGGACGAAGTCAGTCTTCTGTGAATTTGCATTAATGAGTAGCTGAATTACGCAGATGATAGTCAGAGTGACAGTAAAAGAATAATTTCGTAAGACGACACGGAAGACGTCGGTTGCACCTCGTCGAAGGAGACCGTCGTAGATTTTATACACAGAAGTGATAGTCTACAAGCGATTAATGAGCCTTATTTATAGCTCAAAGGAAAATGCGTGGTCCACGTAGCTGTACGTGTGCAACATGGAAATTTCACGTTCAGGATTTGTAAGCGTCAAGTAGTGGGAGTGCTACAGGAAGCAATGCAAGTGATACATATTGATTGAAGGACTGAAAGGATTCGTCTATAGTTGAAAAACAAGTACTTACGCTTCTAATTTGTGTTTTAAAAAAAGCTTCATGATAGATCGACTATGCTACAATGAAACGTAGAAGCCTAGGCATTAACGTCTGATTCTCAATCTCAACAGAGGTGACAGCGAATCAGCTCGAGAATCCTGAATTTTGCTGCATGTTAAAACTTCTTGGACGATTCCGATTTGATAAATTGGAAATAGCCTTGCCTGGAAAGACGGCAGCATTAGCTTGATATTGCTTGATACATCGGTAGACCACCGCAAGCCACCGCGTAGGCCAGAGTTGCATTCACGATGCATGGCGAATCTCTAAGGGATCACCTCCAAACACTTTGTCCTGCACCCTTTATTGTTCATTAAAAGTCAACAGGTTTATTCTCATTTTCTTTCTTACATAACCTGACATTACATATTTGGCAGATTCTAGCAATTCTTCGCTCTTTCCCACCTCTCATCCACGAAATTCATAGGAATTGCATCTTCGGGTAGTGGTTGAAGATTTTCGTTCTTCATGAACTTGTTTGGGAATTCCAAGACCTTCACCACTGAAAACCACCGGCTTTTATGGATCAAAATTTGTACGAGATTTGTTTGGTGACATCATAAGACTCACGTCCCAGAAGACCTTATCACATTGCAAATGAAGTGATAAGTTCGCCAGTACAAACTAATCAAAAGAGTCACTTGGTTGCAAAGATTTACTTTTTACAAACTATCAGATACCACAAAAGCAGTTGTGAAGAAAAAAGTGCTAGCTAGGAGTTACGTACTTGTTCTCTCCACAGCGCCTTCTAATTAAGTGCAAATATGATGCCTCAGTGTTAAGGTGGTTTGAAAATCATTTAGGTAAAGGCGCATATTACGCAGTGGTCGGAGACGCCCTGCAGAACACACGGGATCGAACCCCACGTCCCTGGCCCATCAACCCTTCCATCCCTCCAGGGTCGGCAACTTGGTACCAGACTTGTCTGGGAGGATAGCCGCACTGCCTCGATACATCGGTCGGCCACCGCGAGTTATTGTAAAGCACAAATATGCTTCCAATCACCTCCAAACGGTGCTTAATGAAGTGTAATGAATGGTGCACCTCTAAGCGATTGATCAGTTCCGTGACATTTATCCTTTCATCCTTTACGTGAAGTATTCACAGCGCAGATACATGTGTTAATCACTGTTCCGTTATACCCTGCCATTTGATGTCATTTTATTCATTTATATTTACTTTTCCTCTCAAAAATCTTGTTGACCCCATTGCCCAAGCCGTTTGCTCAGCGGATCCTGCACAGTTTAATTGAACACGACGAAAGAACACGAACCCTAGCATACCATGACTTTTATTCGGAAAACATGTAAAATGAAATCGAAATCAATACTGCTTCTTACAGAAAAACATGGGAACGTTAGTGATTAACTCAGACAAAAGCACGTGTTTGTACTCTGGAAAAGTTAAAGAATAAACCATGATATTTACACGCATTACTTCTACCAATAACAACTGATATGGCGAATTCAGATGAACTCTTCCTCGAGTAAACCAGTAAACTTAGTAAACTCAATTATTTACAATATTTCGACCCATGCAAGGACGAACTAGGAGTGTGAAGTTGAAGAAGCAAGATGCACAGTATAAGGAATACCGACGATTATATTACTATGCTCCACTGCCTGACTCAGTGGCTTCTGCTATTACCTGTTGTTGTTTTGCAGCAGCTAGGCGCCTAGGACGACGAACGGCGTTTCTTTTATTCTTCTCTGAAATATCACCAGACTCATTTGGACATTATAAATTACAAAAATAAGTATAAAAATTGAACCTATTAGCTCATCTTCAATTTCTTTCTGCTTTTCTTCCTCTAATTCCTGCTTCTTTTTGGCTGTTCGACGTCTGCCGCTTGAAGCAGCTCTGCGTGTACACTTCTAAATGAAAAGACTAAAAGATTTTCTCAAGTTCACTATCATAGAAAGCAAACATTCATACAATTTCAACGTAAAAAAACTTATTACACTTACAACAGATTAATACTTAACGGATAAAACATACACGCTCATTCACATCAAGTGGCTGGTAGGCACTCGACTTGTTACGTTCTTTTTGCTTACGTGTTTCTGGGAAGACTACTTCATCATCACTACTGAGTTCTCCATTCAAGTCAATTCTACCTAAAATAGCGAACCACCGATTACTCTCGAGAATTGGCCAAATTGGATAATTTTAAAAATCTACACAAAGGTACCGGGAAGAATAGCGATGGTCCTTCCTTCTACTTGATCGTCTTCACCGTTATTAACCCCAGTGATGGTAAGCTTTTGTTCGTCTTGTAAATACACATTAGCGTCATTCTGAAAGCGGAAATGAACATACAACAAAAAACCATGATCTGGGCTGTCAAACAAACCGTTCATGTCATAACACGTTTGTTCTGAAGGTTGTACATATATGTACATGTATATATATATATACACATATATGTATAAGGAATAAAAGGGATAAACTCTCAGCGTTGATCAATCACTGAGGGATGCGCCATGCATTCGACTTCATTTAGCATCGTTGGAGGTGATTGAATGCATATCTGGCTTTTACAATTACTCGCGACGACTTACCAATGTATCAAGCCAGTGCTGCTATCCTCTCAGACAAGTCTGGTACCTATTTGTCAACCCCGGAGGAATGGAAGGCAGAATGGAAGGGCCAGCCGAGCGGGGATCAAACCCGTCTGTATTACAAGGCGCCTCCGACCACTGCGCCACACGCGCCCCTGTGCAACAAGCGAACTTTTGAAATATGGCAGGAGGACATTTAAGTTCCTATACTATAAAAACAATTAAAGGTGCATTTTTGAGAAAACGGCTGGACAATCTTCATAGAACTTACTTTCGAGCAGGACAGTGCGTTGACATTTTTTGCAATAGTCCATAACGTTCTTCCGGCCTCAAATAAACTGTATTTACACTGGAACACAGGGGCACCTCCTCAAAGTGAATTTTTGAAAGACTAAAGCAACATTTAAACTGTGGTACCGTTATTACGAAAGAAGGTCCATGAGTGGCGACATTATTAATCATATTTTCTACATAAATATCCAGTTCCTTTTCATAACGACGAATAAACGGAGCGAGTATCTGAGATGAAATAGGGTGATCTTCTTTAACAGCAGTAATGCCGAACTAGATGATTTAAGCTTATCACTAAGGTAGGCTTCATAGTCAACTAACTATACTTACTTGAATCATTAGATGGCCCATCTTCACTGGTTGTGCGAACCCTAGCGTAATCTCCAAGTTTTGCTGGTTTAGTCATTGTGGTTCTCTGGATGTCCGAGGTCAGCAAGGCCAGTCTGCCCCAGGCATCACCACCACAGGCTGCCGCCTCCTTTGTGGATCAAACGATCAGAGGGAGATTTGTCACCATGCGACTATTTTGGTACCAGGACGGTGACATAACCTGGTATTAGTTTACGCTTAGCTAAGCTTCCTGATGAAAACGCCGGACTTTCTCTCAGAGTGGGAAACCCTGCCAAGAAAATGAATCCTCCCGCTGCATACCACAACCCGACATCTAGGTAGCGCTCGCGTATTATTAAAAATTGGAATACGCCACCTGAACATGCTGTACGCGTTCAAAAGTTTTACGACCTCTTTTACAACTTTCACTAAAGTCATTCTTTGTGATGTTCTACAATCACGTAAACACTGCTAAATTCTCGCCGGCTGTGATATGATTCCCACTATTCTGTCAGCCACAGCCAGCAATCTGATGTTCTCGCTAACAGTAAAAAATAACTGTTTTGAACACATCGAAAGTTGACCAGACTATGAGAATACATTTCAGCTACCAATTCGGCTATCAAGATGCCAAATCTCTAGACCAAATATATTATGCACAATACACATATCCTTTTTTAGAAGACCAAGCACAGAATTAATCCCCTCTAAGCAAACACATAGGGATTTGGAAAATCAAGGATAGAGTAAAAAGAATAAACTTTCGGTGTCGATCTATCCCCTAAACATGTGGCATGCATTCGATTTATCAAGCATCGCAGAGGTGACTGAATGCATATCCGGCTCTTAAAATAACCCGCGGTGGCCTATCGGTGTATTAAGCTAAACCTGCTATTCTCCCAGACAAGTCTTGTGCCAATTTGCCGACCCAGAGGGAAAGATGGCTTGGTGAGCCCCGAGCTCAGAAGTGAACTGATGACCACGTGTGTATTGCAGGGCACTCCTAACCCCTGCGCTACATGCACCCTCTACAGAACCGAGACGCGATTGAATTAGTGATGGAGCATGAAGCATTCTACACTTGCATTGTACACAAACTCCACCTCTCGACAAAACTAAGGAACCCTGAAGATCGCTATCCCACGTTTTGTTAGAAAAGGACGGAAATACCCGCGCTACCATCATCAATTTCTGTTACTCAGCAGGAAGAAACCGAGGACCAGTGGACTGCTTCAACTCTACACGCAAGCTAATATGACCAGAGCATGTTCAAAGTCTACCAGCTCGAGTGGAATTCGATTGCAACGACAAGGTCCAGCCTTCAGCTTCGTGGTAGGTATCTAAGTGGGAGTAGTGGGAGCGTTTCACAAGCGAGATCTTCCATAAAGTGCACAGATTCCTGATGAATAAAACACGACGATACTTTCTTCACCTCAAATGTTCTCGCTCGTATTAACAATACTGTAGTAGAAACTTTGTCGAAGCCAGGATAATTATGTTCTCATTTAAGACAGAATCGTAAATAGCAACCTTGGGAAAACATAAGCTGCCATCCTCTTCAGTAGACGCGCCTACTTCTTGAAGAGGCGGATTTCCCCTAATACATTTATTAGACGAATTGCAGTATTTTGACTGACTCAGAGTTAATGTGACGGCCGGCTAATCGGTTTCTCTAATAGTGGTAGGAATTTTAATAATCCTCCCAACGGTTCACCTCCTCATCTTGGCTGGGAGGTGTTCCCGGATGTCCAGCTACGATGTAAAGCGGGGAATTCATCCACTGGAAGGGTCTCCCAAGCTGAGATGGATTCCGGCGTTTCCATCAAAGAGTCCAGCTGACAGTAAACCAATACCGGGATCCACCACCATCCTGGTATCAGATTCACATGCTTGCAAATCTCCTTCTGATCCCACAAGGGCTGTTACTGCCTCTGGTGGTGACGACCTGGGGCAGACTTTGGCAAGGCTGACAACGGGACTCCAGGGAAGCACAGTGACTAAACTAGCAATACTCCAAAAAATGGAAATTTTAATGGAGTCCGCACAAGCAATGAGGAAGGGTCATTCAAGTATTCAAGTAAGTAATGTTAAAAATCATTAGTACTCGTTTTCATTCCATGCATGTTAAAACTACACTCTTGATTTACCTGTGATAGAAACGTTTTGAACCTCTATGCCGATTAACGATTTCTGTTCGCTTACCCAAAACTGGAGATGAATGGGACTAATGACGCACGCCCGTTCAGTTTAGGATTAGACAGTGAACGCACATCCACAAATACCTTACCAAGCACTGGCCTAGGAGTGACATACCTTATCGAATACATACTGCGCTCCAGCGGTCTGTGGATTAACCGCCCAGATGAGAAACACCAACTTCCCGAGTTCGTAGAAAGGAATGAAATAGTGGATAAATAGTGTGCTCAGAACCACATCAACCACAAGAAATGATCCGAACACAGTCCAGTACTTTGACCAGTAAGACTGCAACAAATCCTCGTCATGTATGAGCTCGTTCCCGACAACACAAAAAGTAGCTTACCAGGTTTTTCTGACTAGGTCGTTTAATAGTTTTGTATGAGTAGAATGCCGGTACAACAGCACCAACAAAAACCGAAGCAAGTTGACAGAGTAAGGAGAACATTTCAGCTGAAAAGCTTGACATTTAACTTCAGTAAGATTAACTACGTCGAAGTAGCTCATGTTAGAAAAAATAAAGCTCTCGGCGTTGATCAATCCCCGATGGATGCGCCATGCATTCGACTTCATTAAGCATCGTCGGAGGTGACTGAATGCGTATCTGGCCTTTACGATAACTCGTGGTGGCCTACCGATGTATCGGGCCGGTGCTGCTATCCTCCCAGACAAATCTGGTACCAATTCGCCAACCCCGGAGTGATAGAAGGCTTGGCGACCTTAAGGCGCTGGCATCGATCCCATGTGTATTGCAGAGCGCCTCCAAACATTGCGCCACACATGCCCCTTTCAGTAGCTTAAGCTAACTATGAAGATCTACGAAGAAATCTTTGCAACAGTAAAAAGTACAAACCACTAAAGAGATCCACAGAGAGTGAAATAAGTTCACGATGATACCTCGTAAGCGCATTATCACATTATAGAATGATTACTAAGTAGTAATGATAGGTAAATTTACACAAGATAAAGAAAATAGAACCTTTTCTGATAGCCTTAAGAAAGCCACTGCTCACGAAAATGATGGTCGGTCGCACTCACAATTTTGGTCCCTTCTATTCAAACGTTTGCATTTCGCGGGCTGCCATGTTCCGACTAGAGCACCTCTTTTGTCGCATATTTTTGATTTTCAGAGTTTAGTTCGCTTTGTTTGTTTTTGTGTTTCATCTTACTTTGTTTAATTTTTAAAATTCTAGTGTCACAAGGTTTCCTATTCTGGCGATTTTCCTGGTCCTAACTTCGTAATGGGAAGCAGCAACGCACAAGTATCACAGTAATGTGGACAGGTGTTACAGCAATGCAACAGTTGTCTTGTTCTTTTACGAAAACTTAAGAATAGAGTGACGCATCTCCAGAGCCACTTATTTCATTCACTTTCGCGGTCAAAGGAAACATAGCATGCATATTTTATCGAAGGACTGGACGAGGAGATTCGTGACTGCTTCGATAATCTTGAGAACTACGCAAAAGGTTTACCTAACCACCTACCGCAGATTTATTCACTAAATCGACTCCAAGCTGTGTTCCAGGAAGAGCAGCTGGATGTTCAAGCTATGGAAACCGTGGAGGCTATGGTTGGTTGTGGGAATTGGAAGGAAGGAATTTTTCAGACATTTACGCACCTCAGAGAGTTTCTCCGATTCCAACGACGTCGTCCGTCTAGTATTGTGCTTCGCCCTTTGTCATGCTCTCTTTGGTCCTCTGGGATGTCACTACGTGCACAATTTGGGTCAGCTTTTGCCCAATTTCAAAAAGATGTGTTAAAGAATGAAACCGGCATATTTCCAACGTTCCTCGAACGCACAGCAGTGGGATGTGTCGTTGAGCTGAAGTATGGTGTGTTGTTCAAAAAGCAGGTCGTTTTTACGCAGAAAATGTTGATGATAGAAAATGCTGGCGTCGTTGAGCAAGTGCTATTTGTGGCGCCACATGAGGAGTGGTCATTCTACACGGATCTCGGAGAGAAAAGGGTAGATTTGCGCACGACTTCGCAGTATGTGGTGTACCAGAAGCTATCCGTAGAAGCGAATCTTCATCTGATGCAAACGATCAATACACAAGAAATTCGGTGGACAGCACAAATTTTACACCAACTGAGTAGCGCGTTTAGGTTATTCCAACGTATATTTGATATGACGTGTAGAAGATGCAAAGAAGGGATGAAAGAGTTTTTACCACCACTGATCTTTGACTTCCGCAATTTGAAGAACGCGCTTCACGAGACGTGTCGATGATATGTGGAAGCCCCGATCTATTGAAATGCTTTGACTGTAGATTTTATCTTATTCTACTTTTTAAATCCATATGTGACCAAACTCTTTTTTTCTGTTGTTCTTAATTTGTCATTGTTGTGTTAATGTAACCGGTTTTGTTAATTCGTTGTGTTAATAGGAATCATAGGGCAGACTTTGGTCTGGCTGACCTCGGTACTTCAAGGAACCACAATGGCTAAACTAGCAGTACTCCGAAAGAATGGAGATTGTGCTGTGGCCAGCACAACCAGTAAGGACGGGTCATCCAAGTACCAAGTTCCAAGTACAAGTTTCTTTTTACTGATTGAACTTTTTACGGTTTTCTTTTCACACTAGATGTTTTTATGATTTACGAAACGCTTCCAGTTTCTAGAAATTAGTTTGAATGTTGCAAGCGGCATTAGGGTCACCTGGGTTATTTGCCTCGAAATAACCGTAAAACTTTGTTGTAAACTTGTAAACATTAGGGATCTTGTATCCGGTTTGTTTATCGTAGGCTTGGCTGGATATGTTGTTGGGAGTTCGTTATTATGAAGAATTTACCAAAAATATTACCGGGTTCTTGTTTTAACAAATGTTTTGGTGACTTCTTTTCGTCATTCTGCTTCGATCTTTAGCATGGAAATCTAAGAAAACTCGGTACAAAGGGCACATTATCTTGTAAACAAAAGAGTTTCGCATTTTGGGATGATTAGGGTTCACTAAAATTTCACTAAGAAATCGAAAATTCTGCTTAAAACAAAAGTTGCCTGGAACATTGTCAAAACTGATGTGATTTTGGTTTGAAAGTGATGATATTCATGGAAAAAAGTCGAACTTCTTTCAGTAGGAAGTAGTTTACGAAAGCATTGTGGTCGTCCCTTATGCAGTTTGTGAGTTGTTCTCTCAAACGCTTAGACATTGACCTAAATGAATTTCTGCACAATCATGGTGTTGGAGGCAACGCGACCGCAGTGAGGTGATTTCCACTTATTTTCTTCGAGGCGGTTTATTTTGTCACATAAAGGTTTTTTTGTGCTTTTGGATGCGATTGATAGCTTTTGCAACACAAATCATGATAACTTGGGGTGAAATGTATCACCATATACCGTGAAATCGTAACTATCTCCCTCTTATCTCTTTATTTTAGAACGGTTACACCTTTCTACTGCTTCACTAGCGTCTTCAGTTGCCTACTCTTCGGCCCTTGGTGCATAGCCGGATTTAGGACTCGTTTCTAGTCCTTTTTCATGTACATATCAGATGTGTCTTCTCGATAACTCTCTGCCAAGGAAACATCACTATGCGTTATTTCTCTACATAAGTGTCATCTTTGCTCCGAAAAATCGTTCGTAAGTTTCGTCATCGCTTGATATTGCCTGGAGGATTTCTGCATGTCCAAAACTGATTCATTCTTTCAAGAGCGATTTAAGAAACAAAATTGTTTTCAGCACTATGTTACTTCAGAGTCTATAGTTAATGTCTGCTGCGGCGCTTGCTTATATGGTCTTAAAATTCTGGAGTCTTTCAGTTTTGTCGAAGTTCTGAGTTTCTGCTGGAACTTAAGGTGAAAACAACAATTTAGAAGAGTTATGCATACCACTAGAGCTATTAAGTTTGCTCTGTAAATCCACTAAGTTTCCAAGTTCGGAAGTATTCTAGTTATCTGAAAATTGTCCGGTGTTGTCAAGAACCCATTGTTGTCCACAATGTGTAAAGTATTTAAAAAGGATTTTTCAGATTTGATTGATTGTTACTTCATTTCTAGTCACTGTAATGGATCATTATTGTCATATGAGCAACGCCAACATATAGTTCATTCATGTTGTAGAAGCGAATATCAGATGTTGAAAGCAGTGTAGTTATACAGCGGACTAGCTTTTTTTCTCCACTTCCAGGAATTCGAAATGTTTCGAAATCATGAGAGAATACATGGAAGGTTTTAAAGGGTGTGTGGAAAATGAAAACCATGGAAAGTACTAACAAATTACCCCAATTATAAAGAGCGAACCATAACAAAAGGAGCGGAACTCTGCTATGAGGAAATTGGGCAACTATGAGTTGATATGTGTCGTTTTCTTGCTCAGCAATCGCGAGGTTTTTAAACAGCATACATTTACTTCCATAAAGAAAACACAATACAAT